CTCTTAGTAATGTGGGCTCCACAACAACCCTATACAGTAAGTAAACTTCTATAACACCTCTTAAATCCAAAGACACAAGAGATTTGTATTATAGAAAATAGATACTGGCTGATATTATTTTACTTTTATACTATACTTGCACTATTAATGCACATGCAAGAATTATTTTCCCTGGCATTTGTTGTTAAAGATCTTTAGTTTACTGTTTATTTTGGTATGTTATTTCTATCTATCTATCTATCTATCTATCGTATCCTATCTATCGTTATCTATCTTCGTATCTTATTATCGTATCTATCTATCTAGTCTTCAGATTATTTAAGTAAAAGTACCATGCAATAACATAAACATCCATCCCATTCAAAAGTCCTGCAAACTTCTATTTTAGTTCAAATACATAAGTATCTATGGCAATATACTTAATGTATCAAAGGTAAACTCCTTCTGTAAAAAAGATTTATTGTTGCATGATAAGATTGCTAACATTGATGCATTAATGTGTACGCAGCATTTTACTGTTGGTCAAGGTGGAGGTAGTTTTAACTACTATATAGTCAGGTTGTTTACTCCAGTGGTTCCCAACCTAAGGTACAGGCCCCTCCAAAAGCATCACAAGATAAATCTGAGAGGTCATGAAAAAACAAACTTCTGATACCCAAATCTGTATTTTTCTTTTGTTGAAATGCCAGATAATTTTACCTCTTTGGTCCTCAAGCTGACATAACTACTTTTAATGGGCCACACTTAAAAGAGGGAACCACTAGTTTAATCTTTAACACATTGTATTTTATACTGTAAAATAAATAGTAGTAGATTAGAAGTAGGATATGGGATTAAATATAAATACTTATGTACTCAAAGGTACACTTTGCCTTTCTGAACTGCACTAGTCTGGTTCTACGCATGATTACTACACTCAGGCCTATTGATATTTCATTTGTTTGGTGTTCATATTTTTAAACTCAGGTTCTGAATATGACTAAAGGTTTGTGGGAACCTACCTGATTCATTATCAGTCAGTTAAGGGTGGGAAACAGATGATTTACCGCGTTAGCATATGGGTTTGATCGCTCCTCGCGTCCGCCTCTCACCTGGACGGAAGTGAACATAAAAGGCAGGCGGCGCAGGTAAGGGCAGCCTCTCACCTCCTCCCTCTCCACCTCCCTCTGCCCAGGTAGTGCGGCAGCGCTCGCTCCTCTAGTCTACTTTCGGTTGAAGACAAGGAGACGTGCCGCTGGATATGTTTCACTCCTGTAAATATGAGACTACTTGAAATCTTCTTCTAATGTTTCTTCATAACCAGTAACCTCACGGACTAATGGGGCTTATACTGCTGAGCCTGATTCTCCGGTACTGGATCAACACCGTGGAGGGTAAGAACCTCGACTTCAAAAAATCAAGGGCAAGACGATTATAATGTGCAAACAAAGTTACTCAAGAGCAGACAATAAATGCTGTGCTGGTATTTATGACCAGTTAACATGTTTTATTGTGAAAAGCCTTTTTTATTTTGAAATTATTAACTGTAGGCTACTTTATTATAATAGTTAAACGACGTATACACGTTAATAAATGTATGAAATCTCTTTTTTTTATTTTATCAGGACAAAAAACTTTTGAAAATTCAGATCTCTTCCCTAGAGAGTTGTTCCCTTTAGTTGTTGCAGGAAACTGTGGTCAGTATTGACATGCTGACTGTAACTGTGCACTGTGTTCATGTGCACTGCAGGATCATGTTCAGCTGGCAGCGCTGTGACTTGTGATGAGTGTCTGCAGCTCAGTTCTCAATGTGCCTGGTGCACACAGGAGGTAAGCAGCCATGGTTTGCATGTATGAAACCACAAAATGAAATTCAAAAATGTATGATTTTTGGGCCCGGATGAGCAAAATGGTGTTGCTTGTTTAGATGTCTGCACCTGGTGAAGAAAAGATTTTACAGCATGCTATAAAACAATCTCAATCTTCCATCAGCTAACAGCACAACATGTGACTTTTTACTTCATCTCTCAGAATTTCACAGACTGGTTTTCGGTTAGCGAGAGATGTGACACACTGGATATCTTATTAGAAAAGGGATGTGCCAGTGGCCAGCTGGAGTTCCCTGTTTCCAAAGGCCAAATCCTGCAGGATCGCCCACTCGGGAAGAAGATGGGGAACGTTAACAGCACTCAGATCTCCCCACAGAAAATTGCACTCAAGCTGCGACCTGGTACGCAACCCAGCGCGTTTTGATTTGATGATCTGCTTTCAAATGTTGTTTCCTTATTTTCAGACAGAAGTAAGGTGTTGATTTTGTTTTTGCACAGGCAGTCAGGTGACTTTCCAGGTCAAAATTCAACACACAGAGGACTATCCCGTGGACATCTACTACCTGATGGACCTGTCAGCATCCATGTTCGATGATTTGGCGAAAATTAAAGACTTGGGCTCTACTCTGTCTAAAGAGATGGCCAACCTCACAAGTAAATTTCGAATGGGTTTTGGCTCTTTTGTGGAGAAACCCCTCCTGCCCTTCATCAAGATCACGGAAGCAGACCTATCCAACCCCTGCAGGTATATAATAAATATGAAAACATGACCAAAGACTTCAACAAAATCTTATTTTCTGATCTATGTTTGAGGTTGGAAATGTCAGCAGTGTCATTTGGTATCTTAGAGAAACTTATTTTTCGGATCTTTATTTTTGACTTGTGCTCTGTTGCAGCCACGTAGGCGCAACCTGCCTGCCAACGTTTGGATATAAACACGTCTTGTCACTGACGAGCAGCACTGACAAGTTCAACGAGATAATCGCAAAGCAGCGTGTATCTGCAAATATTGATTTGCCAGAGTGTGGCTTTGATGCCGTCATGCAGGCAACTGTTTGTGGGGTAAGATTTTGTTTTTCAAATTTCCAAAAGATGTGAACTTAGGGTGTTAGTCTGTAATTCTTTCTAGTCAACATTATTTGATGTAAAAAAGGAGCATGAGCAACACAATGTGTCTCCTAATAGGACAAGATAGGCTGGAGGAATGACTCAATGCGTTTGCTAGTGTTTGTCAGTGATGCTGACTCACACTTTGGGATGGACAGTAAGATGGCCGGCATCGTGATTCCCAACGATGGGCAGTGTCACCTGGATGTCAACAACGAATACTCCATGTCCACAGTGCAGGTACATCCTCAGACCTTATGTTCTTACATGTTACGTTATGTACAGTATCATGTTTTGTATTACGCAGTGATAGTTGCTTTTTTAAATGTTATTTATTTGAACCCATGACCCCATGACCTTTATTTCTTGAGTAATTTTAGCGTCAGTATGAATCATCACTGCCTCACAGCACATTTACTATTTATATTTCACCATGTTTTTCTAGGAGTACCCAACTCTTGGTCAGCTGATTGATAAGGTGGTGGAGAACAACATCTTACTGATATTTGCTGTGACGGAAGAACAGAAACACAACTATAAGGTAACAGCTTTTTTCCATAGATGTATTCATCTTGTCAGTACAATAACTCCAAACCAGAAAACCAAAAAAATGCAAGTGTTTACTGAGGTCTGCATATTTATTCATGGTGCTGCATTCTCAAATGAACCTGTTAGAACTAGTCCTCTTTTCTTCCCTGTTCTTTTGCGTACTTTTCTTTCCTTCCGGGAGCCAAGTCTGCCCTCATTGGTAACAGTAACTTTGCTGTCTATCTGTTTTTTTCCTCATAGAACTATGCAAATCTCATACCTGGCGCCACTGTTGGAGTCCTGGCGCAAGATTCGCGGAACATCCTGGAGCTGATTGTAACAGCATACAAAGTAAATAAATAGTCTTGGTGATCTGGATGTGCGGGTAGGCTCTGCGTGTGCAGGCGCCGATTATAAGAGTAAAACTGAAAACACCTGCCACTATAAGAGCGGTACGACAGTGCTAACATTGATTTGATTTGATCAAGTTCAATTAAGTTATTGGACATAAAAATGTTTTTGTCAAATCACATACATATGAACGTAAAGCAGGCATGAATTAACCCTCTGTACGTCTTATTTTTTACATCACAACAAATGGACAATATCTCTGCCATCTCTGCTTTTTCCTCTTCCATTTGTTTTTCCCTCTACCACCAGGTACTTTGCATCAACATGTTTAACAGCAAGTCTCTGCTTGTCCCAGCTGTTTGATCTCCTATCCCCTCTGACTCTGACTTGGTCTTTCCACACTCTCCCTCTATTTCCCTCCATCTGCCTACCTCTTGCACTCTGTGTCCTTTTTAAATCCCCCCTGGCAGCAGTGAGTGGTGGCGAGTCCTCTAATTACTTCATCAGTTACGTCGTTGACACCCACTTTTAGTCTCTGCCACGTTAACCACACTGCAGAGAGGACAGATCCCACTGATTAAAGATAGTTGTGGCTCTTAAGGGAAATAAAAAATAAAGAGAGGGATATTTAGTTATAGACGACCAATGATTAGTATTTATACTTACCTGTGTTTTTGGATTAATGTTTGTTGCTTAGTGGATATATCTTTCAGCCACCTCACTTTAAATACCCTGCAACATATTTACTGAATAACAGTCCTTCTTTTTCAATCTTTTTTACCTGCTTTACCTTAAACCATCTTCACATTGGGTGTATCCCATAAATACCGCCCCTGTTTTCTCCTCCTTAGCAACCCTGAAGACACAGTACAATTACAGGCCTATGGGAAACACACAATTAACTCTCTGTTAGCACCCAGACAGTCCGTCAGAGAGTTCATTAGTCAGTCAAACACAGTCTTTCTTCCAGCTGAGGTTAGCTGTCGCTCTTTTCTCAGGTGCTTTTGTACAGCACACCTGGGATGATGACTCACCCAACAAGAGAGCACTAGATAGTGGGTTTCAAACAGTCTTATAACACTATGGGTGAAAGTGTAGTTCCAGTGTAAGTCCTGGAAATCCCACTTCATGATAATTAAAGTCAGTATATTGATTTGATTGTTGGGTCTTAGTGATTTTTGCTATTTTGGAGAGGAAAACCTTTTGTTCAGTACCAAATCTGTGCTGTCAATTGCATTTCCATACAAAGTGCTGATATATTTATTTCCCTTTTCCAGGAACTGCGATCTGAGATCGAACTGGAGGTCCTCGGAGACACAGAAGAGCTCCAGATGTCCTTTACAGCCATTTGCCCAAATGGATCCGTCCTCCCAGATCTAAAACAATGCTCCAATATCAAACCTGGAGAGACGGTCAGTTGTTTTGCTCTTAATTGCTCTTTCTCTGGATTTGTATAGCACCTTTTGAACTGACAAACTTATAAGAGTGTTAAGACAGTAGAACGATAGGAACTATAAAATAATTGGACACACCAAAAGTAAAAAACATAGAGATATGAGATTATAATTAAATTAAATTAAAATGATAAAAAAAAATGAAGCTATAGTTGTAGCATTTATTTATCATTTTATTTTATTTATCTTTATAGAGAAAAACAATTAAAGATGAAAATCACCTGATAATCGTAAAGCACTCTAAGCAAAGACCAGGCTAAAAAGGAAGACTTTAAGGTAATGTTTAAAGATATCAGCATGTATGGCTCCTGAGTGAAAAGCTACTGCTTGAAAGGTTTTTGTTCCAAATTTAGGATGAACTAACTTGTAACAGAATTTACTTACTGAATCTATTCGGCCTGATTAATGGGTCAACCAGATAGGATTACAGTAGTTAAACCTGATAGTCAGTGTTTCTTAGAAAGAGAAATAGTCGCGCTGCAGCTATATTTTTCAGATTATAAATAAAGATAATTTGATGACATTCACTAAATACTGTAAGCCTTCAAGTTCAGTTTTAAGTCAATGATAATACCAGGGTTTCCTGCTTGTTGGCCAGGTTTAAGTCCTAGTAAATACATTTTCTCCCTCCATTGAGCCTTGGCACCTGTAATTAGTAGTTCAGTTTCATCCTTTTTGAGACAAAAGAGCATCAGTTGGTCTTGTGTGATCAGAAGACATCATCACATAAACTTGTATGTGCTCTCTATTTTATCTTAACCTGCAATGATGAGTTGATGAATTCATTCAAAAATGTCAAACATTCTCATTTTCCAACTTCTCAGATGTGATAATTTGCTGCTTGTCTTTATATTATATTAAAGTAAACTGAATCTCTCTTGGTTGTTTGTGACTGAAGAAAGCAATTTAATGACATCACCACTTATAAATAATAATAACTTTGTGGGAAATAATAATGGACATAGATAAAATGTATTGTTAATTAACAATGATTAAAATAATCCTTAGTTGCAGCCTTCATTTTTTTTCTTTGATTTAACTGGATGATTTTGGTTAATTAAAATAAAAAAGTTGGTGTTATCCTTTATATTAATGATCACTCATACAAAGATATTTCATTTTTTAAATAGGCTAAATAAATTCCTAAAACAGCTGGGCACTTTAGGTTTGTTATGTGTCAAACCTAGGAGGAGTAAATAGTGCAATTGTTTGGGGACTATTTTCAGATGTGGAGTAATACAAATTTGGTGCTTTAGGAACATTTATGGCTGCAGAATGGTGTGTGTGGGAAGGATTAAAAATGAACTACAGTGCCCATGTTCTTCACAATGAATATGTGCCATCAGTGTGGCTTATTGATGTATTTCAAATAGATTCTGGACAACAATGGAGCTCTGTAGCACAGATGAATAGGCTTTGTCAGGCTTTGGTTACACAGGCTAAACTTGTTTAGGATAAATTTAAGAGTTGTTAAATTTAGAAATTGTTCTTCTCTGCTCCTCAGGTAGTATTCAATGTGTCTGTGGAGCTCCCACGATGCCTGTCAGGAGTCCGGCACTTCTCCCTCAAACCAGTGGGCTTACAGGACAGCTTGGAGGTGGAACTGGAGTCTCTTTGCTCGTGTGACTGCCGGCAGCTTCGTGAAGCAAACAGCAGCCAGTGCACCGAGGGCCAAGGGTCTTTTCAGTGCGGCGTGTGCGTGTGTCAGCCAGGGTTCCTGGGAGCGGAGTGTGAATGCAATGAAGAAAGCACTTTGTTGAGTAACTGCCTGGCAAACAATGAGTCAGACATATGCAGTGGTCAGGGGCAGTGCTATTGCGGACAGTGTGTGTGTCATCAATCCAGCTTTGGACGCATATATGGACCTTACTGTGAGTGTGACAATTACTCCTGTGTTCGCTTCCGTGGGGAGCTCTGTGGAGGTGAGTGATGTATGAATGTTGAATTATTTATGTGTTTTTGCCATTGAGCCTGTTGCTTCAGTGACTTTGTGTTTGTAGGCCACGGAGTGTGTGACTGTGGGGAGTGTCACTGTGAAAGCGGTTGGAGGGGGGAGTACTGTAACTGCAGCGCCAGCACCGAGGCGTGCACATCAGAGGATGGCACTGTCTGCAGCGGCCGAGGGAGATGCGAGTGTGGCCACTGCGTCTGCTCTGTACCTGGGGCATCTGGGGACAAATGTGAGAAGTGCCCAACGTGTGGAGACGCCTGTAGTTCTGCAAGGTGAGAACCCTTTCATGCCATCAGCTATTGAATGAGGATGTAATGTTTTTGTGTGAAATTGTTGTTTCTGTACCTGAAAGATATAAGATGTTGTCCCCCTTGCGCCATATGATCTGTCTGTTCTTTTGAGTACAGGCATATCAAGTTCTTGTCCCCTTGTTCGTATGTGTCTACACCTTCCATGTGACATCAAAAGACATCTAATGTCTCCAACACAGCACTAAGAGATTTCCTTTCTCCACTGTAAAGCAGCTGTCAGGGCTAGTGCCATTTGATACCACTGTTATAGGGGAGACTGGTGATAGAGAGTGAGTGAAGCCTTGGGAAAACTGTGATAAGTGACCAACACTGTAAATTCTTTGTTCTCACTGTGTCAGGGAATGAAGGTTACTTCAACTTAAGCTTCCCAAGAGGTGCTGTATCATCTCTAAGGAAAGCGTAACCCTTTGTTTTCTTCACTTGTTTTAACACCAGGACCTGTGTAGAGTGCCATCTGGAAGATAAGGACGATGGCGAGTTGTGTGATCAAAAGTGCAGCGTCCCAAAAATTTCCATCAACACAACCGCAGGTAAAGGATTCCTCAATCTATCCGTTCTAGCACTAATTTAAATAATATCATGCACTTAGTGCTTATGACAGCTGTAGGGCTGGATCATATAATTCTAATCATCATCAAGTCATTAGTATGGATATTTTCTAACATGGAGATATATCACAATATCTTAGTGCATACAAAATCAAAGGTTTTGTATCTGTCACACAAAAACTTAAATCACCATTTTTGTTAATTGTCAGCTTTAAAATGTCTGTAGTTGTTTTTCCAAATGTTTAATAAACTGAAAGGTAAATAATTTGTTCAACCATTGGGCATGCACTTAATAGTACCCATCTACTTTCCAAATCATGCCATATGTTTTTAGATTGATTTTATGCCTTGCCACGTATTACAGTTTGTGTCAGTACAGTGTGAAAATCAACTTCCTGACACTTGAAACTTGCTTCAGATAGGCCATGTATCACAGGGAATATTTTGTTCCCTTCATGTAACATTAACATCTAATGGACTTTTGGGTGAGGAGGAAAATTCTGGTGGGAACCTTCAGAATCTAAAGAAATGGTGTCCGTGTTGACTTATTGCTTACCATCCAGGTTTAGTTTTCCAATAACATACAGTAGCTGAGGAATGCACAACCTTTTCTCAGCCAAAACTGGATGTCAGGGTTTCTTGGAAGAGATTAACAAGTAAAAAAGAAATTCAAAACAGTCCTTGACTCACATACTGTGACTCACTCACAGCAAAAAAAGTTCATTAAATCTTCTCTCTGAAGAATCATCAAACTGGCAGGTTTTAAATGTATGCAAGTTGATATGGTATGAAAAAATAAAGCAGTAAATAAGCAGTAAAGTAACGCTTATAGGTCCGATGTGTAACATTTAGGAGGATCTAATGACAGAAATTGAATATAATATGCATAAATATGTGTTCATTGATGTATAATCACCTAAATAGGAATTGTTATGCTTTTCTTAGCTTAGAATGAGCCATTTATATCCGCTGCTCTATCCCTATAGAATAAAGAATACTTTTCTCTACAGTATATGCACTAACAGTAACACTATATAAATGTACGATAACTCCATATGCACCCGGCCTACTAGCATGACCTCTAACTTGTGCTGTAAAATGCTTGTTGTTGTCGGAGTTTTTCCTCTCAGCTCAGTTTTTTGATATTGGTATCAACATAAGAGCATGTTAAGTTTCCCCATGGGTCAGAGATTTGGAGGAATGCTGACCTGCATCGACTCGGGTGTCTCTCTGAAGCCTGCAAACCCCCCCGCCTCTAACATAACACCATCCATGTCCATTCAGGCAGCACTGGACAATGGGGAACATATTATTTACCTTGTCGTACAGGCAGAGCTATTGTAGCACATGTGAATAGCCAAAGGACCTCGTCTTCCTTTATAGAAGAGATTATCTTAAACCTGCTATACTTGTGCAAGCTGAGAGGTATATCTGATTATCGCAGAGGATTTTCAGGCTTCAGATGTGAACTACAATGGCACGGTCCACACACACACACGCACACACACCAGATTGTAGTCTTTGATATGGAAATCACACTGACAGCACAACAGAGGCGAGTATATCCTTTTACATTCTCAGCACAATGTTGAAAAGGGAAGATGATATACAATGGATTCATGCCTTCCTTATGGATATGTATGTTCCCATTTCCTCGCAGATTATGACAAGAGCTCTTCTATGCAATGCACGCTGATGACTGAGAATGAGTGCTGGATCTCATTTAATGTGGTAGGAGGTGAAACGGGGACCACTGCCTATAATCTCCAGATCTATGGTAAGCTTTACAACAACATAGAAAACAGATAGAACAAAAGCAAGTAGTGGTGTGAGTCTCATCTCATCCTCTGTCCTGTCCCAGGTTGTCCAGAGCCTCCAAACATCCCCATGATTATTCTGGGGGTCTCCCTCTCCGTTGTGTGTATTGGCATGATCCTGCTGGCTGTGTGGAAGGTGCTGGTGTCAGTCCACGACCGTAAAGAGGTGGCCAAGTTTGAGGCTGAGAGGTCAAAGGCAAAATGGCAGTCGGTAAGATTTTCAATTGGCTTAAAAGATAAGGCTGGCAATGTTATATGTTTTTCTTGTTGTCAATAAATCTATTGAAGACAGCAAAACCATCAATGAATTGATCCTACTGAATAAATATTATCTTTATTCTTCTACTTTGCCTCATAGTTTGAGAGCGTATATGCCCTAACCCCTTCCAAATTCTATGTATTGTGTATCTTTAGTCACTCACATTATTTTACCTTTATATGATGCTGTGAAATATCACATGTATATTGTTTTCTAATTTAAAGCTGCAAGGTGACCCACTCAATGACGGGTTTCTACATTTTATCAGATTGAAAGCGTTTGTTTTTTAAAGCACATCAAATCTTCTCTAACTGGAAGTTGATAACTAAGTCATCAAGACACATTTTATGGTCGGGACCGTAGTTTCCTTCCTTTATATAAAAGACATTACTGAGCCATATTGTTGCACAGGGTGACATGTTCCCTCACTATGATGAACATGGGCTCTGTGTTTTATTTTGAGTTGATTCCACTTACACTGTCCTGTTGCTGTAAATACGCACTAGACCCAAAGCAAAACATTATCTCTGACCAAAGCACTATTAACTTCTGTTTGAGTAATGTTTACTAAAAACTGGAATGATTTAGGAAATGAGAAGCCTTTAAAAAAATGGAACTGTGACCTGTTTTTAAGATCTTTGTCTTCAGTAGGAAGGGATGGGCTTGGGACTACAGGCGGTATTTAGGGAAGGACTAACACATTGTTGGTTTTAGTCTTTTAATGGCAACTGTTGACAATAACAAAAATACTAAATATCCTGGCATAAATATTCTGGTGAAAATATTTTAATGATCCATCCTGTTCCTTCAGAGTGATCGCGACTGCTTCTTATGTCTGTGTCTTTTCTTTGTCTCTCCTCAGGGGACCAACCCTCTGTTCAAAAGCTCGACATCTACATTCAAAAATGTGACTTATAAGAACACACAGAGAGAAAGGATTATTACACAGGATCACTACTGATGATATACTGGAGGCAATGAAAGCCAACATCTGAGTGCACTTAAGTGTGTGTGTGTGTGTGTGTGTGTCTGTGTCTTCCTTAGGCTACATTTGGGAACAAAAGCTGTGTCTCCAATTTGGAAACAGATGATTTTTGGTTCAGTTGTTAAGGTTAGGTTAAAGTTAGGCAAGTACTGGTTATCGTTATGGTTAGGTTAAGTCTCTAAGGAAATGAATGTAAGTCTATGCAATGTTTATGTTTATGTGTGTGTGTGTGTGTGTGTGAAACAGAGAGAGATGGAGATAATTTTTTGTACTAGAACTTGTTTTTGTACGAATCTGTGTTGATTCAGAGATGTTGTAACACAACACTGTGAACAATACATGATGTATTTGCTGCTGTTTACTGTCAATGTACTAAACACTGCACTTTCCTGTTGCATGATCCTACAAACTTTAACACATTTATGTCTACTGTAACATGCAGCTTGGAAAAGAGGAGTCTACACTACGAGTGGTCTACTACTGAAAAAATCTTTGTTTTATTCTAATGAATGTAAATATATAGGTGGATGATTATGTTTTTTTAAAATATTGTATTTGTCTGTTGTTTTATTGTAAAGCAAGGCTGAGCCTTTCGATGTTAATAATTGATTTTTTTAGTGGCATGGCACATAAATAAAGTTGAATTGTGACTTATTGTGAGCTTTCAAAGTTAATTGTATGCTGTAACACAGTTCTCATCCCCAGACAAATACTGATTAGAATAATTGGATTTGGCACTAAGAGACCAAATCAAAGTTTATTTTATTTACAGTAGGACACTGAACTCTGTGTCTTTCCAGGCTAGTGATGGAAAAGTAATAAAGTGCATTTTGCTTAAGAACTACACTGAAGTACTTGTATTTTACTGGAGTATTTCCATTTTCTCCTACTTCATGTAAGGCCAGCCATACTTCCCCGTGGTCATTTTTTTTAGTAAGTTGATTACTTGCAAAGCTGACTGGAAATGTGCACCACTAAAGTTCAACAAAAGTCCTGCATTATTATGTATTCTTGTGGCCCTGTTGTAGAAGGAATCTGTGTTAAATATTTATTATTTTTTCTTTAATTGTGCTCACATGGTGCATGTTCCCTAAACAAACCTGGGGTCAGGTAGTATTGAGATTACTGAGAAAAATCTGAGCTGTTTAAAGTATCAAAAGTATACATTTGAGTTACTTGTACTTCCAGTATTTCCATTTTATGCAACCTTATACTCCTACCCCTCAACATTTCACAGGGAGATATTGTACTTTTCACTCCATTACATTGATCTGACAGCTGTAGGTACTTATTAAGTGCTGATTAAGATTTAAAACCCACTATGTGATACACTTGATGATGATGATGCAGTACTATAATCAACCCAGTGGTATAAAATTGGCTTTAAACTACAATGTTCATGTGCTCTAACTAAATAATAGAATATACTATAATAAAACACTCTGCAATGAGCCATTCTGCTTAGAGTACTTTTATCTTTAATTCAAGGTTTGCTGGTATTACTCATGTACTTTTAAGTCATTTTGAATTCTGGACTTCGTAAGGGAGTATTTGTAGTAAGTAAGTAAGTAAGTAAAAGATCTGAACACTTCTTCCATCATTGACTGACTACAGTAATTTTTATTCTGATGAACTGAAACGTGCTGTCCAGGTTACTTTTGTCCCAGATGAAATGATAAATTCTATACGTTCATTATATGATATGTGTGTCAAATATTAATTTCCTCTGGTGGAAGTAACTAAATACATTTACTCAATCACTGTACTACAATTTTGAGGTAACTACTTTACTTGAGTATTTCCATTTTCTACTACTTTATACTTCTACTCCATCACTATTCAGAGGCAAATATTGAACTTTTTACCCCTCTGCATCCATTTGATGATGCAACTATAATAATATAACGACAAATAAAATATGATGTATTATTATAGGTTGATATAAGAATATGGGGTAAGTATACACACTAGCAGTATATAACGTAGTTAAAATTGGCCCCATATTTACCATCTGCAACATTATAGTGATGTACACATTATGCACCAATAATCCAGTGTTATATTATTATGAATCAGGCCATTCTGCATAATGAGTAGAGGTACTACTTTTACTTTAGTTACTTTAAGTATATGTTGATGCTTTGGCAGTCTTTAAGTTAAGTAAACATTTGAATGCATGACTTTTACTTGTAACAAAGTACTTCCACACTGTGGTATCACTAGTTTTACTATACTACCAGTTTGTAAAGTAGTCTAACCACTACCTATGGCTTTCAAATGACTGTAGCGAAGTAAACAGTGTACCATTGCAATGGAAGCGCAGTGCCCACCTATCTATGCATCTATGTATTGTGTTTGTTTATCCACTGAAGGCCTTTCGCTCAGTGTAAACCAGGGGTTTTTATGGCTCTGTCCCAGTGAAAACAGTCCGGTGGAGCGGTAGGAATGTAGCTTCCAGACCGGAGAGCAGCAGCAGCTCCTCCGTCAGACGTGACGTCGCTGGTCCCCCGCTGAAAAACTTCACTCCGACAAAGTTTTTCTTCTATGAGGGGAAAAAACAACGAGCCTAAAATACTCCCTCTGACCAGGAGCCTCGGAATGTGCGGACATTGGCGCTTCAGCACTGCATCCCGCCGTCGAAATGTTAATACAGTTGTTTCGTTTAGTCGACTCCGTGGCTGTTGTGGCGACTATTTGTGCAACAGTGTTGCTGGCGAAAAGCTGCCTGTGTGTCACCGAGGAGGACGATGAGGTCCTGGAGAAAAAGCAGCTCATGGAGTTTTACAGTAAGTTGGATCTTCTGGCTGCAGCTGATCTTTTTTCTTAAACACGTCAATGACCTCCCGCAAAATAAGTCCACTCTACATCTTTTTGGTGGGGTTTTGTCTTTAACATGGTGGATAATTATATAACTATACTGAACAGTGTGTGTGTGTGTGTGTGTGTGTGGGGAGGGCAGATAATCATTACAGCATGTTTTCATTGTGACTGAAGTTAAACTGTACCTAAACTTTCTTCAAGTCCCCCCCAAGTAGCCTCTGGACCACAGTTTGAGCCCCACTGCTGCAACTTGGCTCACATTACCAACAGTGATTTAATTTTAATTTGATGAATTGAAACGTGCTGTCCAGGTTTATTTATATCCCAGATGAATGGATATTTGAAAGTAAACAGTATAAAGCATCATAAAGTGAAATGTGAATACATATGCAGATCCAGCTTGAAAGAACGGCTCAAGCTATATTGCAAATAGTATC